AATGGTTCCTTCCTTCTGTAAACGTTACATATTCAGGTGAAATGGTTCCTTCCTTCTGTAAACGTTACATATTCAGCTGAAATGGTTCCTTCCTTCTGTAAACTTTACATATTCGGCCGAAATGGTTCCTTCTGTAAACGTTACATATTCAGGTGAAATGGTTATAGTAATGGTAATATTCAGCGCAATCATATTATTTTTGAAAAATTTGTAAAACCTAGTGAAGATTTAAAATGACAATTAATAACTTTGGCAGAATATTTTTTATGGCAGTGTAATTATTTCACTGAATTTTTTTTTTCAGTAAATCGTGGTAAAAATATATTATAGTCATTATTTTATCCTCAGAAAAAAATTGACTTAAAAAGAACGCATTCTAATTAAAGATCAAATTAAAGCTGTGCTAAACTTTTTGATATTTTATATATACATTATTCACTCGTTACATATAGAGCTGCACGAATTGGCCAAAAATGTATACAGTATTGAGATTTTGTTGTCATATTGCAATTTGAACTGTGATATGATAAACATTTCTCTTTTTTAGTTATGATAGAGATTCATCACATTTTACGTGACATTCACGCTGTTATTTTAGGAACCCAAACAAAATTAATAATAATTATTGTTATTGAAATGTTATCATTGTTACTGTTGTTATTAGTTTTAGCTCAAATTTATAGAAAATGAAGACAAATACTTTACTGAATTTACACTACAGGTTAAAATACCAATATTTATGTTTTAAATTCTTCACTTTCAGATGTTACCATTTTAAACTCGAACTCTTACTTTAGTGGAATATTTTTTTGATTGTGTTTGTGTTTTTCGTCAGACAGTGAAGGACGGTATTTCAGAGACTCGCATCGAAAAGAGGATCGTCATCACAGGAGACGCAGACATTGACCACGATCAGGTACAGCCACGGGTGGGTTAACCAGTTATCTAGTTCGTTAACCAGCAACACAAAACCTCAGTGACCGAACCTGATTAAACACGTGATTGTGCCTTTGCTTTGACTGGATGCTTGAGGCCCAAAAACACCAAAAATATGCTAATTCAGCTCAAATTTATAGAAAATGAAGACAAATACTTTACTGAATTTACACTACAGGTTAAAATACCAATATTTATGTTTTAAATTCTTCACTTTCAGATGTTACCATTTTAAACTCGAACTCTTACTTTAGTGGAATATTTTTTTGATTGTGTTTGTGTTTTTCGTCAGACAGTGAAGGACGGTATTTCAGAGACTCGCATCGAAAAGAGGATCGTCATCACAGGAGACGCAGACATTGACCACGATCAGGTACAGCCACGGGTGGGTTAACCAGTTATCTAGTTCGTTAACCAGCAACACAAAACCTCAGTGACAGAACCTGATTAAACACGTGATTGTGCCTTTGCTTTGACTGGATGCTTGAGGCCCAAAAACACCAAAAATATGCTAATTCCATTGTCAGCTTACAATTAAAATATATTATTTCAGTTATCGTTTCGTTTATTTTTTAACTACAGTATATAAACACATTTTAACCCTTTAACTGCCACCCCCCATTTTTTTAAATAGGCATGCAGGTGCACTATCCAAACTTAAATTGTTGTAATTTATGAACACTTTGGAATACAGACATAAGTTTGGTCTCTTTTTAAAGAAGGAAATCAGCAGATTATAGCAAATTTAAGTATCAAAAAGTTATGGTAATTTAAATTTACTGTAAAGAAAATACACTATATTAATTTTATTTTATTTTACATAATAAATATTTTACATAACAGGTTTTACTCTAAAATTGGTATAAAATTAAAGCCTTATGTCTAAATAAGTTATGTTCCAGATTTGAAGTTGATATGAAAAAAATGTAGGTTCCTGTGAGATTTTATTTAGGGCGTCATACCACAAACAGGTGTGTGTGTGAGAGAGAGAGAGAGAGAGAGCGTGTGTGTGTGTGTGTGTGTGTGTGAGAGTGTGTGTGTGTGTGTGAGAGTGAGAGTGTGTGTGTGTGAGATTGATTGAGTGGGTGGGTGAGTGAGTGAGTGGTTGGTTGGTTGGTTGGGTGGGTGAGATTGCGTGATTGATTGATTGATTGAGTGAGTGAGTGAGTGAGTGATTGATTAAGTGATTGGTTGATTGAGTGATTGGTTGAGTGAGTGAGATTGTGTGTGTGTGTGTGAGCGGTCGGTCAGTCGGGTGATTGAGTGAGTGGTTGGTTGGTTGAGTGGGTGAGTGAGTGATTGCGTGTGTGAGAGCGGTCAGTTGATTGATTGATTGATTGATTGATTGATTGATCTGTGGTCTCTGTCTCCCTCTGCTGGTGCATTGTGGGTCAGGCTCTGGCTCAGGCCATTAAAGAGGCCAAAGAGCAGCACCCAGACATGTCGGTCACTAAAGTAGTGGTTCATAAAGAGACTGAGATCTCAGCAGCTGAAGGTGACGCATGAATGGCGCAGGTAAGAAGGTCTGACCGCTGCATGTGCTCTGCTGTAACGTCACGTGTGTAACGTCATCATCCTTCATTATCAGCCTTCTCAGACATCTCAGAGAAACCAGCAGATTCACCAGTGCTTGTACCTAGAACCCCTGTGGTGACCTCTGACCTCACGCTGTGGTCTTGTGTGACGCTCGTAGCTGCATGATGATGTTCAGTACATGTGACGGGCCTTGAGCGGTTACACACTGATGTTTGCAGACAGACGGCTTACTTTATGATGCAGTTTTTTTCCGCTGCGCTTTTGCTTAAAGTCATTTTTACAATATTTCCAGATGCGTCGCTCAAAACCAGTCACAAACATGTCTGGGTCTCATTTTTCACACCAAAATCATAAGAAACTTAAATTTTTTTAAAATAAATTTTTAAAAGGATTTTTTCCCTTTAATTTGGATTTTGCTCTTCAAACTCAACAAACTGAATTGAAACTCATTTGTACTTGAATCATAAGCATGTTTTTGTTGCATTACTTGTTCACTTGTTAGTTTTTGTTGTTTTTTTGGCACTAA